GATGCCACCTTAATAACATGAGTTTGACACCCCTGATTTAGACTGTGGAAGTCAGAGACCCTAATATACCACCTTCCCTCCCCCCTGTGACCTATTAGATTCCTCTTAATTTTCTCTCTTTGCATAAACAGCTTATACTGAATTCATGCCTAAATCCCTGAATGCAGTTTCTTAAGAAATCACCTGGCTGCTAAATTTTCATGTCAGCCTAGCTCCATTGTTTTCAATAGGAATTTACATTCAGAAGGAATGATAACAAATGCAGGGGTTTTGTATTTCATGAGTTGTCATAACAGATTCTGGGGTAATGAATGTCATTCTTGTTATTTCTTTTGTGCACTATTTTTGACTTTGCAGAAATACTGATTAGATCAACTGCTCCTTGCCTGATCTTAATGTTCTTAGGCCAGCAGGAAGGAACTCAATTGCTTAGCTGGCTTCAGAATGCTTTTCATTAGGCAAGGCAAAGTGTGTATGTGGAAATGTCTTTTATTTTATGTATTATTGAAATGGCCTTAACTTGACCAAAATAATATAGACTTGAGAAAACCAGTCTGCATATATGGTTTATTTGATCAAGGGTCAAATAAATGTTGCATAAAGAACTGTCTGATACACTAAAAAACAAAAAGGATAAGTATAAAAAATGGAAAGAGGGACATATATCTAAAGCAGAATACCAGTATATAGTCATAATCTGCAAAGATGAAGTCAGGAAAGCTAAGGGTCAGTACTAAGACTCGCAACAACTGTCAACAATAATTTTTTAAAAGTTTCTTTAAACATATAAAAAACAAGAAAAATGTCAAGGAAACAATTGGGCCACTAATGGGAGAACATGGCAAGGAAATGATAGGCAGCAGGGAGAAAGCAGAGAAAGCAGAATTATTAAATAATGATTTGTATCTGTCTTTATGCAAAAGGAGTCCTAGTAGATAACTACTTAAATATGAGCCAATAGTGTGCTGCAGCCACAAAAAAAGCTAATGTAATCCTAGGCTGCAGCAATAGAGGCAGAGAATCAAGATCATGTGAAGCATAACACCTGGAATATTGCATCCAGTTTTGGTCGCCAAATATAAAAAAGTTTTGAGACTTTACAAAGAGTGCAGAGAAAAGCAACAAAGATAATTAGGGGGCTGGAGGCTAAAAACATATGAGAATGGTTGCAGGAATTGGATATGTCTAATCCAGTGAAAAGAAGGACTATGAATGACATGATAGCAGTGTTTCAATATTTGAGGGGGTGCCACAAAGAAGAGGGATCACTCTGTTTTCCAAAGCACTGCAAAGCAGGACTAAAAGCAATTGATGGAAACTAATCAAGGAGAGAAAAAACCTAGAACTAAGGAGAAATTTCCTGATAGTGAGAACAATTAACCAGTGGAACAGCTTGCCTTCAGAAGTTGTTGGTTTTCCACCACTGCAGCTTTTTAAGAAGAGATTGGACAGCCATTTGTCCAGAATGCTCTGCAGCGTGTCTTCTGCTTGTACAGGGTGTTGGTCTAGAAGACCTCCGAGGTCCCTTCCAACTCGATTCTGTTAAAGCCATCCTTTACAAAAGGGAACATTAAAAGGCAAAGATGTCGTAAAATGTACCTCTGTTGTAAAGTTATTACTTGACTACTTGGTTTGATTACTAACTTCAGTAGCATTCAGTATAAAATCTATTCCAACCACATATTTAAGCATTCTGGCTAGATTTATTAAGCAAGGGCTATGTATCTGTATCTGTATAAATTTATTCATTGATAGGAACCAAATCAAGCCAATTGGCAGAAGTTAAAAGGTTAAAGTAAATTGAGAAATTCACTTGAATCTTTACAGTTTACTTATTGCTGTGAGATTTAGCTTGGTGATAAAAAAAATTAAGTAGAAAGCTATCTTTTCTATATTTCTTCCTTTCTAACATCTGCTATAATACATGTGTATAATCATCATCAAAGAAAGTATGTTCTTCAGACCACAGGAAAGTATGTATGGAAACAATATAGGTTAAAACTTGTTGTATAGAACAGGCACTCTATCTCTGCTCCCTCGTCTCTTTTCCCTGAGTTATTTCATTTGTGGCAGAAAAATAACTGACTAGTCGCATATTTTACTTTTGCTTCTTGTTCTGATGCTTCAGATATTTAAATGTCAGTGTTTTGATGTGCCCTTTTCAGAAATCTGCTGGAGCCTGAATTGTAGTTAATGGGCAGAAAGCATTTTCAGTTCAAATAATTTAAGCAATTATTGTGAAGAAAGGAACTTTCAGAGCCAGTTCAATTCTTCCCATAAAAGAAAATTTGTGAGTAGCAGATGTGGGTCTACTCCAATTAGACAGGAAGATGTCATTGTCCCCCAGCAGGAAATCTTGGGAAGAAACCAAAGGATGTTGTGTGCTGAGCTTAGGAATGACTTTTTCCCCTACATGTAGCAATATATACTACTAAATTTGACCTATCAGTTTTTAGTAATAAGAGATACATATATTTGGAGACATTTTGCATCATCTTTAATAAAGTCTCCACAATTTATTTCAATGTTTTTGAAAGTTCTATCAACAGCTATTGATAATTCATCAAATTTTAAAGATTTTTTTATACAATGGAAGATAAAAATACTCCCATTGCTTTTCAAATTAAGTTTGCATATAAAGAAACCAACAAAAGCAATTTTGTACATTTTTATACTATTTCAATGCCAAAATTATTTGCTTGTTTTAGTCTTTGTACCAGATTTAAATATGTCACTTTTGAGCAACAAAATGACCTTTTTGAGGACATGCAAAATTATTTACTTCTCTGTTGATAATGCCAGAGAAAGTGTTTTCTTTAGAGAGAGCGGTTTCATTAGTTCTTTCTGCAAAAGAAGTTTGCATAAAATAGCAATACAGTTCTTTGCATATTTAACGAAGAATAAAACTGAGAATTGCTTCCAGTTAAACACACAGAACTGTGCTATTTGTAAAGGAGGAATAGAATGATCAATTCAAATGTTTATAAGGATATTACAGCAGGATAATGTCTCTAACTCTCTCATATAACACATGTGCATGTATGCTCATATGCCCACTGCCTTATATGAAATTTCTCAGTAAGAGATTGACTTTTTAAATTTATTTTTATTTATTTAAATGCATTGGCTCCACAACTCTAGTCGATCCTGGATGTATTTGTGTGTGTGTGTGTGTGTGTGTGTTTGTAAATATAACAAACGAAAGATATCTTGTTCCTTTTTTGATCACCTAATTTATCTCACTTTCATTTTCCAGGCTCTATTCCTTCCTGTTATTTGTTTATTTGTTTATTTGTTTATTTGTTTATTTGATTTGTCAATTGCTGACAAGATAATAGGTATAAGTATATACATAGTTATGAATACATGAAATGGGTACATATAATAAAAATAAAAGAAGCTATAGGACAGGGACTGTAGGCACGTTGGTGTGCTTATGCACGCCCCCTACAGACCTCTTAAGAAAGGGGTGAGGTCAATAGTAGACAGTCTAAGGTTAAAGTTTTTGGGGTTTGGGGAAGAAACTACAGAGTCAGGTAGAGTATTCCAGACATTGACCACTCTGTTGCTGAAGTCATATTTCCTGCAATCAAGTTTGGTGTGGTTAGCCTTGAGTTTGTATCTATTGTGTGCTCTTGTGTTGTTATGGTTGAAGCTGAAGTATTCATTGACAGGCAGGACATTGCAATGTATGATTTTATATACCATACTTAGATCAGACCGAAGACGGTGCAATTCAAGGTTTTCTAGGTCTAGAATTTCAAGTCTGGTGGCATAAGGTATTCTACAATGAGTAGAGGAGTGGAGAACTCTTCTTGTGAAATATTTCTGGACTTTCTCAACTGTGCTAATATCAGATACGTAATGTGGGTTCCAGACTGATGAGCTGTATTTGAGTATTGGTCTAGCAAATGTTTTGTATGCTCTAGTTAGTAGTATGATATTACCAGAGAAAAAGCTACGAAGGATTAGGTTAACAACTCTTAAAGCCTTTTTGGCTATGTAGTTACAGTGGGCTCTAGCACTTAGATCATCAGATATGAGTATTCCAAGGTCCTTTACAGAGCTTGGATCATCAACAAGATCTTGACTATTCAGCTTGTATTTTATTTTCTGATTTTTTTTGCCATTATGTAAGACAGAGCATTTATTTGTTGAGATTTGAAATTGCCATTTGTTTGACCATTCTGATACATAGTCAAGATCTTTTTGAAGGGTAGCAGTATTGTCTGTGGTATTGAACAGCTTTACATCATACAAGTCAGTGCTTCATTATGTTCAGCTAAAACATAACTGAAATAACAGGAAGGAATAGAGCCTGGAAAATGAAAGTGAGATAAATAAGGTGATCAAAAAAGGAACAAGATATCTATCTTTCATTTGTTATATTTACAAACACACACACACACACACACACACACACACAAATACATACAGGATCCACTAGAGTTGTGGAGCTTGTTAAGTACAGTTTGACTTAATTAAACTTCCTTCAGGTTTAAGAATTACAATAATTGTTAATCTTCTTGTTTATATATTTCTAGCTATATTTATGGTGGTCTTTTCACTGTGGCCTATTTGTTTAGAATCTCACTGTTCCAAGAGGTAGCAAAGATTTATTCATGCTGGCTGTGTTTAATTTATCTTTTATTCCATTTTATTTTAATTATTTTATCTTATCTTTGTCTGGTCAGCTACCAGCGACAAAATGAGCTTCTTTAAATGAAATTTAAGAAGAAAGTCCCTACACTGAAATAATAAGAATGCTTTCTATTCACTGTACTGTGTTCTCTGCCTTTAAAAATTTTAGTCTTTCTTTAGTTTTAGGGATTTTACTGGATCCTGGAAACAAAGATTTCTACTTCCAAACTGAAAATATTTGTAACTAAAGCAGCCTATCCATCCAGGACAATTAATACACAAGAGAGCAAGCATTCAATTGTCTCTAATTTTGTAGCATTTTCATTAATATGAGGTTTCCTTCCTGCTCTCCTATTTAGGGTGACATTCAAAGATCAATAATCCATGTGGATTTTGGAGATGGTAGTGCTGTGTCATATGCCAATCTCAGCTCAACAGAAGATGGAATCAGGCACATCTATCAGAATGTTGGCATCTTCCGTGTAACTGCACAGATCAAAAACAGCCTGGGGACTGACACTGCAGTTCTGTATTTGCATGTAAATTGTATGTAATTACTATTGGTATAACAATACTTTAAAGATAAAATTATGTCAATTCAGATGTTCTGCCTTTGATAAAAAATGTTGATGGTACAGGTGTTAGGTTTTATTACATGCAAACATATTTTAGAGATGAACCAAGAATTAGAAAAGTGGGTGGAAAGGGAAAAGAATGAGAAAATAAACAGGAATTGCTTTAGGCTATGATTTATGATGGTGTGATTTAGTGATTCGTGTAACATCTAAAGTATGGTTTTTCATAAATTTGTATCATGGTTGAAGCCTTGTGTCATAATCCAGGGCCAATGGAAAATAATAGGAAGTCTAATGCCCCAAGTTCAAAAAGATCTTACTTTTAAACATAGGCTTGTTTTTGTTTTTGTTTACTTTGTTTCAGTTTATCATGTTTAATTCTTTTTCATAACTTCACATATTATTTTTTTATTTCTATTAAAATTCAGGTTTTTGAAACCCGGAACAGATCTAGACCCATCTGGTTACTTGAAAGGGTCTGCTAGCAACCTGGAATACTAGGACATTTGTCCAAGCCCATATATTCTAGCCAGATATTTTACCATGAAACCTGATGAATCTACCACTTTTAAGGACATGTTTTTAAGGACAACCTTAGGATTGTTGCTTCCCTAGGAATGTTGCTTGCTCCTGGGATTGGATATAAAATGTGTGGCTCCCGCACCCTTTAATGGGACTGAATATCTTGTTTTACTTTTGAGATATGAACTTTCGCTTCCAATATTGCTTGAAAAGAAAGAGAAAATTAAATTTATGGGTGTTGATGGATTTTTAAAATATGCAATTGTATATAATTTACAAAATAGTTTGATTAAATAGAACAAAACAAGATGCCATGTTTTAAGCTTAAACATAAAAGATCAAATAGCAAGTTCTTCAGCTAGTTTTTGAGATTGATTGATTGATTATATTTATTTATTTATTTGATTTGATTTGTCAATCGCTTACAAGATAATAGGTATAAGTATAAACATAGTTATGAATACATGATATGGATACATATAAGAAAAATAAAGAAACAATAGGACAGAGACGGTAGGCACATTGGTGCGCTTATGCACGCCCCCTACAGACCTCTTAGGAAAGGGGTGAGGTCAATAGTATACAGTCTAAGGTTAAATATGCCATCAAGTTGTTTTCAAGCTCCTTTGTCGTTGCCCCCCCCCCTCTTTTAATATTTTAATTATACATTTTAGTATTACTATGGTTATTTTTATTGCTTTTTCATTTTTTTTAATGTTTCTGGTTTTAATGCTTATAAGCCGCCCAAAGTTGCCTCCAGACAAGAAGGCTGGCACATAAATCAAATCAATACAAAATAAGTAAATACAATTAATGTTTAAACAATTCTAATCAGTATTTAAATAGCTTATCCTTCATTTCCATTTTATGTATGCTAGTTGAAAACTCCAAAATTAATCAAAAGTAGAGAGAGAGGGTAATATCCTAAATAACCTAACCCACAGCCAATCAATATGCTGCTGTTTGCTAAGAAAGGTTTTGCCATCCAGTCGCACTTTATATGCAAGTTAACAAGGCTACTTGATGGAAAACCTCTTTGTTTATGCAGGCCATGACCTGAACCAGAAATGGCATTGTTTCTGTCATTCCCATCTGGTAACAGAATTGCAGCCATGTAATTGCTCTGTGTGTTTCAACACCATATAATTTACTACATTACTTGTCAGATCTTAAATTGCATAGGATGTGATATTCTCTTCAATAGTTCAAGGATTAAATCATGGACAGTGTGTGTAGGGGTAGAACTTCTTAGCTGGTAGTGGTTTTATTCTGGTAGGGATTTTATTATTTAGGAAAGTAAAAGAGTTTATTCTGTATTTTACATAGAGAACTAATTCTATATTTGCATGAGAGCATGTAGAATCATACAGTGAAACCAAACTAAAACTAAATTTAAAATTACAGTCTAATAAATAATTGATGATCTAACATCAAGGATCTCATGTAATTTCAGATAAGGACTGAAATTTCATATGAGGATATAGAACCCTGTGAGATTTCAATATTCTTGCCTTGTATCTTAGGAGATCTTATTTAACAACACAGAATTGTTTTTTCAGTTTGATTTGATTTGGGCCATTTAAATGATTTCATAAATTTGCCATAGGATGAAGATCTAAAAGGCTGATCAGCACAGTAGATAGATTTGTCTTGATTTCCCATTCTCCTTTGAGCCAAAGTCATTCTGCCATATCCATGCCTTTAAAAAGTACTAGAACCTGGATTTCCCCACTAGGTTTCCTCACTAGACTACAACCTTTTCTATTGAACATTTTAGCTAAATAAATAAATAAAGCAGATTTTCCACTTTGTATATTCTCAAAGTTTTGCTTCCCAGCTGGTACCATAGGCAAAGTGTCTCTTTTTTGTTGTTTGTTTAATGTTACATATTTCTTTCCAATACTTATGAGTTTTTTTTTTACATAACCACTGCATGTAATAGAAAGTTGCTTCTTTATCTGACATTTATTTACTCCTTTTTGTTATATACTTTATCTATTTAGTTATTGATGGATCTTTTACCATAAATTAAGGATTTTATACCAATTTTTCTCATAAGTATTATTGATAATTTTGTTTTGTTTATTATTTTCTACATAACTCCTCTCACGATTATATCCTTATTGTGCTTTTTAAGATTTCTTTATCTACTTTATATAATTTTTACTTGTTTTTTCTCCATGTCATATTTTAATGACAGATTAAATGCATAATCTAACTTTTCAACACTTACATCTCACTGACTCCTCATGTGTGTTGTTTGTTTTTAAGGACAGAAAGAAAATTCCAGGGATAGAGAATACAAACCCATCATACTACCAATCTTTGTTTTAAAGTTATTAGAACAGTGAAACATGCTTTTAGAAAGCAACTAATAAAAGGTTAATGATGTATGAAATATAATAACAATTTCAAAAGAATTATTGTGGTTTGCAATACCATACTACTGTGGGAATCTCTAATGAATGGGCATACTTTACAGGGATACTTCAACTAATCACACCAATGTTTTCTCTAGTGAGAGCTGAAGTATTTTCATATCACCTCATATTTAATTTTTTTAGAAAAATATACATAGCCACGGTCCTAACACTTTTCAATGGAATATTTAGAACAATGGTTTTTAAATTATTAGATTCAATTACTTTTTCCCAGTCTTGAATAATATAATTACCCCCACCCATTGCCCCCCAAAGCCCCCAGACTCTGTTGTTTTACACAAAGCGTATTTGTGACAGCAACTTGTAAACTGTATATTTGCCTCACAAATATACAATTCTAAATAGCTCCACTACCACTAGTATCTGCACAATCTCTTCATAACATCCAGCATATAGGCTTCATGGAACTAATGAATCCTCGTGAATGCAAACCTTTTTAACTCAAAGAACACAATGAATTTTCCAACTCTTGTTAGATACTTAAACATTGCTAACTATTCATGTAAATAGTAGTACAACACCATCTGCTGTTCCAAAATTGCATTTTTAAATCTGTCTTTTTATCTTGTAATAGTTAATCAGAACTACCTGCTTCAGTGAATTTTCCGTAAACCAAATCAAAAACAGCAAATCTTTCAATGAAGAATATATACATTATTCTTCAGATGAGGTTTTTGAAACAGCTCTTGTATGTACAGTCTATATTGCTTTTCATAAGTTATCATAGCAGAGAAATATGGATGTTACATGTGTCATGTCCTCATACATGAGATTTTACATGACTTCCCATCCACCTTGGGCAAAAGGAGGAGAAATTTCTCTATTTTTATATATAAAGAACCTGTATGATGCTTTTATGCACATTGACAGCTAAGAAACAGAACACTTTCATTCAATTTGTGACATATCATTCCTATACATGTATACACATTATTCTATGGGATTCCAACCCTTCTCTGGAAATTGATTTCAAACTTTGGGAGTTTGCATACAAATTATACATTGTTTTATTTGAATTTAAAGATGATGCATTAATAAATGTCATGAAACATATTAAGTCATACTATTTCTATCAATAGTATATACATAATCCAGCAATATTTCTCTGAAATAGTACTTGGGAGCAAGGATTTGCATGTCTTTGAAACAATTTTTGATTATTCTAATTCCTTCTATAGTGGGAGCATGTAACATCTATATTTCAAATAGAAAATATTTTCCTTTTTTTCTGAAATGATATAGGTATTCTTCTGGGAATCATAATCTAGGATTTTTGTAGAATTTAGACAATGTCCATCTTCTCCTTTTACCTCCCCTTCCTTTCCCTTCCCTTCTACCTCTGGGTGAATGCACAACTGGTAGTGAGACTGGTTTAATCATATGCAGGTTACAACAATGCTGAAATTAGTTTGCAAATGAAGTAGTCTACAGTCCTACTGAAACTGCAGAACATAAAATTTAAAATCTGACAATGATTTTATGAACATGTTTTTTTTTCTTATTTCTTCCTTTCTAATATCTAGGTCCTTTAGAGCATGTCCATTTGTCACTTCCATTTGTAACAACAAAGAACAAAGAAGTTAATGCCACAGCAATATTGTGGCCCAGTCAAGTTGGAACCTTAACATATATTTGGTGGTTTGGAAACAACACTGAGGTCTGTATTTCATGCAGTAAAGTCAATGGCTAATTAATGTTATGGCCACATTATGAATGGGGAAGAATTAACTAAAGAAACAGATTACATGGCCCTGAAAATCACAGATAAAAATTCTCAGCACTTTTATGACACAAATCAGCTTTTTTAATTAACTTGCTTAATACAAAATATTTTGGTTTTTTCTCATTATACAAAATGTAGCTTAAAAATAATATAATTGTTCAGTTTCAAGTTCTTTTATACATATGTCTGTTATTGTAGGGTTTGAAAGTATACCATTTTCTATTATTTTTATACTCAGGCTTGTATTTATCACCCAGAAAGGGGTGTACTTTTGATTGAATGTACATAGTTACTATCTTTACTTTAAAAAAAAAAAAAAACCCTCCCACCCTGGACACCATTGTTTATACTGTTTCATTAATGCAGGTATGTCAAACTCAAGGCCCAGGGGCCGGATCAGGCCCTCAGGGTGCTTAGATCTGGCCTGCAGGGCCTCAGACAGCTCTCCTGAGTTCCATTTTCACTGACAGAGGTTACAGGAAGTTGTCACAGCTGAAAACGGAGCTTGGGAGCCTCTTTTAACTGGCAGAACACTTGGGCCACCACAGGTGCTCCTGACATGAGTGACATTGAGATGGCCACACCCACTTTACCCCCTGCCCCCCCACCCCCGAGTTCAAACACAAACACAAATCAAGTTTGACATCCCTGCATTAATGGAATATTTGTAGATTCCTCAAATCAATGTCTGCTACATTAAATCACTATTTATGATCCATAGCAATTTCCCCAATGTGTAGAGTTCAAATTCCAGAACTCTACAGCCAACATGACCTCAGAGTTGAACAGATATACCTGGAAGTATCAAGGCTGGGAAACACTGCATTAAAGTAATAACATTTGCATTATTAATCACTCAACTAAATGATACATAGACAATGGACAATAATTAATTTGCTACCTATCACTGATTTTTTTTCCTAACGAATTTGGGTTGTGAGCTGTTGTACTGCTACATTTAAAAATAATTAGAGAATGGACTTTAACCACTACTGAAGTTATATTAAGGGTTGAGATCACATGAAGTTAAACATTTATTGTTTACTGAATGGTAGAAACAACAACAACAATGTGAAATACAAACAACAATGATGGACTTGCATTTCATGAAGGTAGCAGGGCCCTGTTACATAATTAAACCAGGCAGTATTGTTTTCTGCTTAGTCCCATTTTCATTCAACAAAGTTTGTTTGAAAACTGTCCTAAAATAGATTCTTGATGAAGACAACTCAATGATATACAAACCTCTGGATACTTAAAAATTATTCAACTTTATGTAAGCATAATAAGTTTATTTGACATAATATTCAGGGTAAAATTCTGAATTCAGGGCATTCTGTTTTTTTATAAAAACATTTATTTATTCTTTTACCATTAAAAATATTCAAAACAGAAAAGAAAAGAAAGTAAAACAGACTAATAAACATCCAAAACTAACAAAAAGAAAAAAATATTAAATACATCTGACATTAAATGTAAGAAAGAATCCAGAATTCAGGATATTTTCAATCACTGAGTGCACCAAATTGTAAGGAAGGATTTATATTTCATATAATTTTGAAAGACTTGAAAGAGAAAGAGAGACAAGGAAACTTTAAGTTGTCCTGCCTGCCTGAGCTCATCTGCTTTTTAGATTAGCAAGAATATCAGTTTTAAAACATGTTACATGTTTTAAATCATTACGCAGTTGGCATTTTTATACACTGTCCAGAAACTTCAGATAGGTAGCCTAAATCAATCAAATAAATGAAAGGAAATATAGGATTGTTCTTTTGAGAATATAGAGTTTACTGGGGGGGGGGGGGGGGACACAGGCTTTTAAAAACAATATTTTACCACTATTTCTATCAATACTTGAACTACAGATAGTCCGTGACTTATCACTGCAATTCAGAGTAGAATTTCAGTCGTAAGCCATGAGAGTGATGTCATGACACCCATGTACTGTTTTTATTGTGGTTGTTAAGTGAATCCTGCAGTCCTAAGTCCAAATACATTTTCTTGGATGTGCACTTTTCTTGGGAATCATGAAATACTACTGAAAATTGGCATATATATATATATATTTTCTGAGGTTCTCGCGGGTATCTGTATGTGGATCTTTGATTATTCGGGTTTTCTCCCGCGTAAGATTGAAAGTATCTAGGCAACGTTTCGATGAAGTCTCATTCATCATCTTCAGGCTTGTGTCTTCTGCTCTGTGCTCCTTCTTACTCTGAGAAGCACAGAGCAGAAGACACAAGCCTGAAGATGATGCACTAAAGGCCTCCAATAAAGTAACACAATGTTGCCAGCCAATCAAGATACAAAAAACCAGACAGAAGATATTAGAAGCAGAACACAGCAAACTCCAAGACCAATAAACACAGACCAAGACTCTCAACCAATCAGGATGAAGAAAAAACCATTCTGGCACAGCAATAGGCTGCCCCAAATTTAAATCTGAAACCACTGTAAAAGTCTAACTCACAGACGAACACTATACAAAAGCCTGATGATGGCAGATGAGATTCTGCTGAAACGTTGCTACAACTTTAAAAGCACCACTACTATGACGTGGGAAAATACCCGAACAAAGCTGAATGCCATACATGTAAGTACCCGCGAAAACCTAAGAGAATATATATATATGTTTTCTGAGGTTCTCGCGGGTATTTGTATGTGGATCTTTGGTTATTCGGGTTTTCTCCCGCGTAAGATTGGAAGTATCTAGGCAACGTTTCGATATATATCACAAATTTCAGTCACATGACCACATGTTGACGCTGCAATGAGGTGTAAATGTGAGTGGATTTGTCAAGCACCTGAAATGCAGTCATGTGACCATGGGGGTGGGTAGCATGACATTTTATAATAGTTGGAAGTGCTTTGCCTCTTGTAAAATATCTTTTCTGAATGGTTATTAAATGATTAGTCATAACTTGAAAACTACATGAATAAGAGGTGACTATTTTCTTCCACAAGACTTACATGGAACAATACTGTACTTTTTCTATAATGTTCTATCATTATTCTAGAAAATAACATGATTGCCTTCAATGGTAATTTATTCACACACTAGATGACATTGGAAGATAATAGATATAATAGATACAAATTGTTACTTATTTATTTACCAATATGACACAACACTATTCTTAGTACCAAGAATTCTCTGTGAAGGTAACAATTAAATATATGACACCACTTCACTGCTTTAACACATTTAAACATCTAGATGTTTTTAGCCCAAACTGAAAGGTTAGAGGGTCTACCTTTAATGAGCCATTTTTAGGGGCTTTACTAACAGAAAAGAAATAGAATGGAAGTTCTAATGTGCACCCTCCATATTAACAAATTTCTTATTTTGAATTGGCTGGATGCAGAAAAAGAATACATGAGTTTAACTTTTTAAACTCAAGACAAGCATTTGTTTATTATCACTAACTTTTAGCATCTTATGAGTTTATCCATTGTTTTCTAGATATGTTTTAGGAAACTTTTCTAGATGATAGGTTTCATAGTCTACAGAACCTTTCGTGATTTATGCTTCTGCATACAATTGAAAAATGTAAGAAAAATAAATCTGTAACAATATCTTCTTAATGATTCTTTGGATATCTTTAATCCCAGTTTGTTTTTATCAACATGTTTGTCTTGGCTTTTAATTACTAAATTAATTCTTTTTCTTGTTTCTTTTTTATGTATTTGCAGCCATTAATTACTCTAGAAGGGAGTATCACATTTACTTTCTCTACAGAAGGTATGAACATAATCACAGTACAAGTTTCTGCAGGAAATACAATTCTGCAAGACACCAAGATGATTGCAGTATATGGTGAGCCTTGTTTTCTTCACTCTTGTTTATTTATTCCTTAGGTTTCCATGGCCATTTTCCCTTTGCTATGTTCTTGGCTTGAAAAAAAATACACAAGGACAAAAGTATACAAGACAACTATATGACAATCAGATCAATCAAGAGCTTTGAAGTTGAACTCATATATATTATCTTTTTAAAGTTCAGAGATCTATTTATCTTTCACAAAGTGCATTCTTTGTATTTCACAATAGATTTACATCCAGATAAATTCTTACTTTTCAGCAATTCACACCTGGGTCATATATTGAAACAGAAATAAATACATGATTTTGACAGAGAGCTGCATTTTGAATTTTTATAAATTCCCCTCAGTGAATATTTTTGTTGATACAGTGAAATCACCAAGAAAAAAGTTTAAGGTTTAGGGACAAAGAAACAAATCAAGACATCAGGTCTTATTTTGACCAAAAACTGGGAGGATAATCTGAATGCTTTGTTCAGTTTCCAAAAATGACCAGGCAACTCATATGGCTTGTGGATCACAGTCGCTCTCTTTTTAACAGCTTATTCTCTGTTCTGTTAGAGGTTCTTTAGTGTTGCATGTAAACATAATAGTTCTCTGATATGAGGAACCCAAATATATTTTTTGCCATGGAAAAGAGGATTGGCCCAAGATTAATTTTGCTCTCTGAGCAAAATTCAATGCACAAAAGCTACTAAGTAACACAAAGTTTTATTCTGTTCAAACAGTCCAGGCAATTTATTCAACAAAAATATAATCAAAACAAAAAAATCTCCAATAAAATATTTATCTTCATTAACTTGAAAAAATATAACCCCCAATTAATAGCAATAGCACTTAGATGAATATACCACTTCACAGTGTTTTACAGCCCTCTCTAAGCGCAGTTTAGAGAGTCAGCATGTTGCCCCAAACAATTCGCTCTTCACTTTACCGACCTCAGAAGGATGGAAAGCTGTGTCAACCTTGAGCTGCTCAGAATTGAACTCCTTGAGTGAGCAATGAATTAGCCTGAAGTACTGCATTCTGACTACTGCACCATCATAGCTCTGGTCAATTAAAATATACTTAAAATAAAAAAAGGTATTTCTCAACCCTCAGTCTATTCAGGCAATTTGAAAAGAACCACAAGTGATGGATTAGGGTTAGGGATAAGGATAAAGTTGGTTGAGCAACTGATCTATTAAAACCAGGAAGTGTCTTGATATAAATTATCCCCTAAAACAGGAGTTCAAACTTGCAGTGTCACATTTTCGTCAAGTGATGTTTTGTGACTTTTTCTTCTTCACTAAACCAGAGGTGGGCGTGGCCAGCATCCAGCCCATGGACTGTAAGTTTGACAACCCTGCTCTAGAAGAACAGATTCTGTCTCAATATGATTGTAAGAGATACAGATACAGATAATCAGAGTTGGAAGGGACCTTGTAGGTCATCTAGTCCAACCCCCCGCCCAAGCGGGAGACCCTACACCATTTCTGACAAATGGCAGTCCAATCTCTTCTTCAAAGTCTCAACTGATGGCGCTCCCACAACTTCCGAGGGCAAGCTGTTCCATTGGTTGATTGTTCTCACTGTCAGAAAGTTTCTCCTTATTTCCAGGTTAAATCTCTCCTTGTTCAGTTTCCATCCATTATTCCTTGTCTGGCCTACAGGCACTTTAGAAAATAGCTTGACCCCTTCCTCCCTGTGGCAGCCCCTCAAATATTGGTGACCGCTATCATGTCTCCCCTCGTCCTTCTCTTTACTAGACTAGCCAAGCCCAGTTCCTGCAACCATTCGTTGTATGTTTTAGCCTCCAGTCCCCTAATCATCCTGGTTGTTTTTCTCTGTACTTTTTCTAGAGTCTCAACATCTTTTTTATAATGTGATGACCAAAACTGGATGCAGTACTCTAGGTGTGGTCTTACTAAGGCTTTATCAAGTGGTATTAGTACTTCCCTTGATCTTGACTGTATCCCTCTGTTAATACAATTTAGGATTGCATTAGCTTTTTTGGCTGCTGCTGCACACTGCTTGCTCATATTTAGTTGGTTGTCCACTAAGACTCCAAGATCCCTCTCACAGTTACTGCTATTGAGCCTGGTTTCACCCAGTCTATATATGTACTTTTGGTTTTTCTTGCCTAAGTGTAGGACTTTACTTTTCTCTATATTGAATTTCATTTTATTAGATATGGCCCAGTGTTCTAGTCTTTCAAGATCCATCTGGATCTTGAGCCTATCTTCTTGGGAGTCAAATTAATTGTAAATTAATTATGGCTAAAGGTCCTCTACTTTCTTCAAAATCTTTCCCCAAATGGAAATTTTGGAGACTGGGCTATGTTTCTTTAAAATAGCTGGAATGAAAGATGGCCTCTGCAGAAGCATTAATAGCATATGTTATGATATGTACAGAATAACCCTTGAGTAACAAGGATATGCACATGGAAACATTTATGAGATTAGTTGTGAGTAATTATTCAGCCACACACAGATACACTAATTGAATTAAAGTTTACTTTAAGAAATAGCACAGTCCAATAAACGGTCCTGGTCATATACATTTAACAGTCAAAAGAATATCCAATTACAAAGTCTTCTTACTGGTTGCTTTTGTCATTTACAGTAAACAAAGATATCAAAGTATAAGCATGGCATAAATCTTAGATAGCAACAGAATGTCAGAGAGACAGAATGTCAGAGAGAGCAAGCCATGATCTCTATCTCCCTCTTATGGCAATTCACAATACAATCAACCAATCAGAACATAGTACAAATCAATACAGTAACTTTGTCTTAAAGCTACAAACATACATTGTTGGTTTATATATTGCCAACCCAACTAATTGGTGGACAGATTCCTAACAGCTTAATTCAAGGTAGGTATGTGACTTCTTCTTCCAACCTAGAGGAGTATGTTTTTCCCCACTCCCTTCACTGAATTTATTCCTTAACAGGTTTGACAATCAGTAGGTCTAAGACAATAGAGAAATACACATATTCATTTTCATCATCACCACATACTTTTGAATATGGGTATGTTCAATCACATGTGTGTTTCAATCACAACTATTCTGTCATTCAGTTCAAGGGAATCTTTAGTAGGAATGTTAGCTTACTGTTTGTCTCTTACTACAAACAGAAACAAAATCACTTAGCCATATAAATGGTTGACCTCAATAGGCGCCTCCATTTTTTTCTACAGTATATTTTCTATCTGTGCATAATTTCAAATGCTGAGCATATTACTTTTCTTAAATCCCCACTGAGTTTGCTCATTCTTTACAGCACTACTTTAAAGCAATTGCCATGCTGCTTGTCTTATTTTGAGGGATGTTTTCAAGTGTTTCATCTGAATCCTTTCAAAATACAAACATCCTAATTGCTTTACAAGCTGTCTGTATTTGGAGGAATACTGAAGAAAACACACAAATATACCAAACTACCATATGTGTTTAAAGATATGTAAATGAAGATTTTGTCTAGATTCTTTTTTAAAGTCTCTCTAGTAACTTGGTTCATAGAGCACTAACACTTAATCAGCTGATTACCAATAAGGCTTCAGATTTATCTTCATTTAGAAATTGTTTTGGGTCAGTGAAAAGTTGAAATTGGTTTAATCAGTGGGATTTATACAGAAAACACTATAAATTCAGTGCATAAATCATTGGTTATTTGTTATGTCTGCAGACTTTTTAAATGCCTTAACTCTCTAAAATGGGTGCATAATACAATTACAGCATTACAGTTTGTTAAATGCAGTGGAAAGATGAACATTTAGGAGTTTTTTCTATAGCAAATTTTTCTTCCTTCTCCTCTCATTCTTCCTCAGCTGTGATTATGTGGACCATTGCAATATAGATAATCCTTGACTTACAATAGTTCAGTTAGTGACCATTCAAAATTATAATGAAAAAAGTGACTTATGATCATTGCAATATCCCCAAGGTCACTTGATCAAAATTCAGCTGATTCCTATTTATGATGTTGCAGTGTCACAGGGTTATGTGATCACCATTGTAACCTTCTGATAAGCAAAGTCAATGGGAAAGCCAGATTCACTTAACAATGTGTTACTGACTTAACAACGGCAGAGATTCATTTAACAGTTGTGGCAAGAAAAGCCATAAAAATGGGGCAGAATTCATTTAACAACTATCTTATTTAGCAAGACAAATTTTGGACTCAGTTACAATTATAAGTCGATCACTACCTATACTTTAAAAAGATACCTTTGAAATATTTCAATATATAATCCTTTAAAACAGAGGTTGCCAACATTTTGGACCTCAGGGACCACCAAACTCACAAGTTTAAATCCCAGGGACCACTAACTGGTTCTGTTGGTGTGGCCTAATTTGTGGGTGTGGCTTGGTGGTCATGTGAATGGCTGGGCATGGCTTGTATGTAAATATTATAAATATTAATATATTGATTTTTTTTAATAAAAAAGCAACTTTTACCCAAAATCAGGCAAAGCAGGCAGGCAGATTGAGTTGCTCACAGAATCATTCAGTGATCTATCTGCCATCGGCTTCCTAAGTCTGTCACATAAAATTTGCTTGCCGCGAGTCTGCACTGAATAGTAGAAACTTCAGCCCTAATGGAGGTTCGGCTGTGCTTAAAAGCAGAGCTGAAGATCTAAAGACTAGGTAGAAAGTAAGAAATCCAACCATTTCCTGCTTTCTACCTAATCTAAATCTCCCGGCACAGCAAAACCACTGATGGTCGGGGAAAAAAGGAAAAATAGCAATTTAGCAGGCAAGTTTGCTGGGTAAGGAGTGAGTGGGCGGGAAAGATTCCCGCAGGCCATGTGGGTAGCACAGCCTTGTGTTCTTGTGCAGCCTGGATTAATTGCTTTGGGGGGTGCTCTGGAGATGACATTTCTCTGCGGCCCACCAAAATTTTGTCACGGCCCACCAGTTGGCAACCATTGCTTTAAAATATGCCAAAGTTCTTTCAAGTGTCCTTTTTTTCATAAGATGTTTGTAGTTAAACTCCAAGTAACTAATTCAGAAATAATGACAAGAAACATATTGCATCCTAGGAATCATGTAAAAAGCTCTTTAGTTGGTGATTTAGGCTTAAGCGAAACTTACTGTATTATAGGGCCTCACAAAAGTTTACAATATCAGTTTTCTTATTATGAAAACAAGTTCATTTTACTTATGTTAATAAAAGTGACTGGTTACTTCTTTTGTCAGCATTGTTTGTCTGTATACTATAAATATTTTTAAAATTACATTTAATCACACTACATCATTATTTATGAAAAAAATCCAGCCAGGCAAATGATAAATATGTAATCAGTAAATGCATTCATTTGAAAATAATTTGTATTTTCCACTTTAAATACTTTGCTATTAAATAATTAAAAGGCAAAACGTATGTTTTCAATTTTTTTGTAGTGATCCAAGAATTTCTTTTGGTATGCATATTCATGATACCTTGTGCAACTTTTTAACAAGGGGACTGGTGCCTCAAGAAGTCTAAATTCAGCAGTGATAAATATTTTGGGGGATTTATTAGTTAGAATTTAACATATCAATGTCACCCTCTTTGCCTAAATGTATACTATTTTAACGTGAGCACCATTTAATAGCCTGTGATTCTCTGTTTTTTTCTTTCCATTTCACTCTTTCTTTTTCTCCCTTCTAGAGCATTTTCAGTCTTTACGCATTTCGTTTTCTCCAAATCTGGATGACTATAATCCAGATATTCCTGAATGGAGACGGGACATTAGTCATGTCATCAAAGCCGTTCTAGTTGAGGTAAAAAAAATGTTGCCATATTTTATTATTAATTTCCATGAATTTATTTGAAAGGAGCATTTAGAAGAGTCTGCATCCAATTTAAGACAAAAGAATGATTTATATAAATACTCCTTCCACTTATCAGATTAATATAAACAATTCTCATACATTTAATTTCAGAATTTTTTTAAAAATAAAATTGTATTATTTTTTTTAACTGAAGCTTGTCACAAATGCCTTGGTCTCACATCATTGTAATTGTATTCTTATGTGACATGCTAAAAATAGAGTTGTATTTCTTTTCTTTACTAGCTAGAGAAGAATGTTTAAAATACATAGTTTGGTGACTTTATCTTGTATTCTCATCATTCTATGCAGTCTAAGCCTTACATTTTGTCCATATGGGTCATTGCAGTCTGTCCTGTCCCTGTATTATATAATCATGTAGTTCATTAATCATCCTTCATCATACTTTCTTATTGTTATGGTACAGAATGACATAGATCAAGGGATGTTGATTCCACAAGTCTATTTAGCACAATGGTGCTAAATAGACTTGTGGAATCAATCCATAGTTCTGTTTTACTAATAAAAGTCTGGAATTGATGAGAACAATTCAAGAATGTTATGGAATATAGATTAGGACATTTTCACTCTAAATAGTTTTTAAGTATTGAAGTGTGGAAACAAATGTTCTTGTCAGGATGCGAGTAATATTTTGGTACAAAATTTGAATGTCATAGTTAAGACATAAAAAATGGATAAACATGGGCTACCATATTTAGACTCATCATGATTTTAAGCCTTAGCAGAAAGAGCCATGATGGTGCAGTGGTTAGAATGCAGTATTGCAGGGTAATTATGCTGACTGCTGACTGCCAGCAGTTTGGCAGTTCAATTCTCATTGGCTCAAGGTTGACTCAGCCTTCTATTCTTTTGAGGTCAGTAAAATGAGGACCCAGATTGTTTGGGGCAATATGCTGAGTCTGTAAACTGCTCAGAAAGGGTTGTAAAGCACTGTGAAGTGGTATAAGTCTAAGTGCTATTGCTAAGTGCTATTGCTATCATTATTGAGAATATGACATAATAAATTTATAATACTGATACATGGAATATACATTAAAACTATGCTTTACCATAGGGAGAAGATCTTTTTCTTAAACTGGTCTCATAAATAGAAGGGACCTATTTCAGACTTTTTTTTAATTCGAGGCTGATGAGTTCCAATGGTTTCCAACCTGGATTCAGGTTGGAGTGGGGGAGGGGAGGGAGTGACATCATTTGTGGTATGATTGATGCAAATTAGATAATGTCATCACACCTTATACCAGATAAAGCATATTTACAACTTTTATGGCTCCCCCTCCCCCCAAAAGTACATTAAGGTACAAGTCTTACTCATAAAATATTATTTCATTCATTTTATATAGCAACCATTTTGATATGTGATTTTAAGTGAGGTACAAAAATTTTTAAAAATAGAAGTCTTAAAGGATTTTAATATAATTAACCATTTTTAGCAGAGGTAGTTAAGTCAGATAGAAATAATAAAGGCAATCAGGATAGTCTTGAAACTGAACATTCCTGACTGAAATGTTGGGGGAAAGGTTTTTAGAGCCTTTTGGTAGACAAGCAGGGTCAGAACAACCAGATTTTTGTGGGGATGTGTGCAGGTGTGTGGCAGAGGTGTCCTGCAATGTATCATATGATAGTGTTTAAAATGATGGAACTCAGAGCATGCCATAACCCTATCAGATCTTACTGAATAGCAAAGATAATTGGAAACAAACGTCTCATATAATAACCAGGCATGGAAGATGTAGATTTGAATGGAATTGTATAAGAGCTTTGGTGACTCAGTGGTTAGAATGCAGTATTACAGGCTAATTCTGCTGACTGCCTGTTGCCTGAAGTTCAGCAGTTTGAATCTCACCAGCTCAAGGTTGACTCAGCCTTCCATCCTTCTGAGGTCGGTAAAATGAGGATCCAGATTGTTGGGGGCAATGTGCTGAATCTGTAAACTACTTAGAAAGGACTATAAAGCATTATGAAGTAGTATATAAGTCTAAGTGCTATTGCTATTTGATGATGAGACTGAGAGCACAAGAAGCAAAAAACAACAACAACCAGTTCTGTGTTTAAAGGTGGTATGCATTTTTATTTATTAAATATAGTAATAACAAATATTAAATGTTGGAATGATGAGATATAAATGAAATAAATGAAATTAGTTGTATTAATAGTCAGTAAATTTAGAAAAAAATGTAATAGAAGACAAGCAATTCAAGTTTATTTTAGCTGCAGAGACAGAACTTTGCCTGTCAGTCTAATGTACTATTATTTTTATTTTCCCCAAATTAGGCAACCATAATTTCTAGTGAACATATTTTGGTAGCAATCCTTCCAGGATTACCCACCTCAGCTGAACTCTTTATTTTGCCCTATAAGAATACCAATGGAGAAAGTAAAGAAACAGCTGAAGATCTGCAACAGGTATCTGGTTTGTTGGTTCTTTTTAGCTTATATAATAATGTTGAACTATTAAGAAATATTCATTAAGCATTTCTGCTTAATGTAAATGAGATCATATACATCTTGAGATCACATACATACTAGAGATCACATACATCTCGTGTTAATATTAATTTATAGCCATTTTTTATTTTTACTTGCATCATTATTCATGATTCTGTAACCGTTCAGTTTTCTCTAAATTGTTTCTGCAGTCACTAAATAAGTACACATTAACAAATTTAGACAAGGGAAAAAAGGCTCAGGATTTCATAGTCTTCATAACCCAGCTTTGTCAACAGCAACTGATATCCTTATCATTATAAGAATATATTACCACAACATTCAGTTCTTGGAGTTTCCTTGGAAGACCACATGGAAATATTAACTGTGTAGATTGAAGTTACCTACCTGCTGGAAGATGATAGCCATTTTAGAGGGTTATTTCTATGCTTGTGTCACTGCAGTTTTAATCAATAGAGTTCAGTTGGTTTTAACTAGTAAACCATGGTTTGGATCCAGGTTTTCTTATCTGGATCTAATCAACCTTAGAATCTACAGCTTAAATAATCTGTTTATTTCAAATCATTCATCTTTTTGAGGGAGGGAGTGGGAAGAAATGAAAACTAGTTGAAATTTTAGATTTCAATGTAACAATATCTATTGAGAACTATTTCTATTTCTACTAGTAGCATACATTTTATAAGACAGGATGAAATGAAAGATTCTGACTTCAAAAAGAATTATACACATACATAAATATATTTTTGATTGAGGATTTCTGTAATATGACAGGGAATGTAAAAGTAGACTTCACATTCTATGGTAGAAAATCTGCAAGCCACAGACAGAATGAAAAAAGGAAATGAGTTGACACATTTTGTTTTATATTCTAAAGAATTCTAACCTAGAAAGGTTTTCATGTTTATTAAGTCTTTGTTGCTTTAGAGGAGCCACAATGACTTGGTGTTCCCAGTTTCTGATAATATTTATATAGTTTTGGTAGAAAGGAATGTGTTAATTTCTTCTCTTGTAAGTCTGTCTACAAAGCCATAATATTAAATTTCTCATTAATGCAAATATATTTTCATTTGAGTAATGAAATCAGTTTATTACTGTATTACATACATGCTTAATCAGCTAGCCAGTTTTACTTTCATTGACTTTGAACTCTAATAATGATAAATTAATTATTTAAAATATATCTAACCAAGATTATATTTTGTTGGATGCCAGCTCTAATAACTTTATATCATTTGGGTACCTATTGAAAATATTAGAATACCTCTAGTGATTTTAGTCTTCCTTATCCCATATGAGAATCTTATGATTCATTAACCACGTGGATAACTTTTTACCCTGAAAGATATAGTATTTAATCATTTTACAAAATAATAATAATAATAATAATAATAATAATAATAATAATAATAATAATAATAATAATAATAATAATAATAATAATAAAAACAGAAGGTTTATATGTGCAGAAACTATATGTCACTGGAAACAGCAATAATTTGATTTTTCAGCTGAAATAAGATTATCTATATTTAGACATTGTTCGTTCAGCTGCAAACTTAAGTATGCCAGCAGTGACACAAACTCAAAGCTTTAAAATTTTTGTGTTGATGATGAGCGTATAAAATTTGTAACTCATGAACCTGAACAAATTTTAGTTCAGGCCATTTTACTTTTCCTGTAAGAATATGTCAAGCACTATTTATTGTTGATATGTATTTTATACTTAACAAAAATGTTATCAGTACAATGCTGATAGACAATCTTTAGCTGGATTGATTGAGTGATTGTGTATCATTGGGTAACCTAGTGATCACATAGGTAGATTTTCTCCATGCTTATCTGTCCCTAACCTAGTCCTTTACGTCTTCCAATAGTGCACTAATAACTTTATTGCTGATTAACTTCTTCTCTTTCCTTCCATATTTCTCAGCTTCTCCAGACAGCTAGATATACAGCATAAGATCTCAAAAATGCCAAGTCTGGTCATTTGTGCCATGAGTGAGAAGTCTGGGTTAATTTATCCAATTATCCATATTTTTTTAAACAGATGTAATAGTATGTAGGAAAACCTTGGGAGATGGGCAAAGAGAAGCTACTTAGGGAACTCTTAGGTAAGTGTCATCATAGCCCCCAGCTGCATAATGACTGCAACATAGTAGCAGAGGTAGTATTCAGCAGGTTCTGACCAGTTCTGGAGAACCGGTAGCAGAAATTTTGAATCGTTTGGAGAATCAACAAATACCACCTCTAACTGGCCCTACCCCCATCTATTCTCTGCCTCCTGAGTCCCAGCTGATTGGCTGTGTCTTTTTGTGTTGCCGTGCACAGGAGAACAGAGCTGCAAATCAGGTTGGTGATGAGGAGGGAATGGGATTTTGCAGTAATATTGCCCCAGGAGTGGGGAGGAAATGGATATTTTACAGTATCCTTCCCCTGCCATGCCCACCAAGCCATGCCCATATAACCGGTAGTAAAAAAATTTGAACCCCACCACTGCATAGTATGAATTTTACTTTCAGACTTGCAAGATTGATGTCAGCCTTACCAGTATGTCATCTCTCCCAGGTAAATCACGCAGGAAACAGAATATACACCCTAGCAGAACGTGCAAACACACAGTTATCACCATCAATTCATCATTGTCAGCAATCCAGTAAAAGCCGGCAAACAGTGAGCTCTCTTGCTCCCTCTTATGGTGATTTTACAACCGCACCCAAAATACTTGGTTTACAGTTTAAAGTGATACATACACTTAAACTCACTAACATAGTTTATATATATTATTTTACCCAAACTAAGTTAGGTAACCAATGTTATCCCTAACATTCTCCCCTTTTGGGTAATATAATAATATATATGTATCTATTTACAATTTCAACCCATAGTTTTCACAATTTTCCTTGTGCTTTACTGCACCTTGGGCTTTTGTAAATCCATCTGCAAAATTTTCTTCAGTCATGCAATAGACCAATCTTATTAGACCATTTTTCACAGATTGTCTAACATTCAAATATCTAGGTCAGTGTGCTTAGATCTAGTCTTTACAGCAATATTTGTAGCCAACCGTATGGCTGCTTGATTGTCCTCATACACTACAATGGCATCCTTAACAGTTATTCCCATATCTAACAACAACTGTTTATATAGAATTAAATCAGTACATAATAAAGATAAACATGAAAATTCTGCTTCCATTGTGGACATACTTATATGTTGCTGTCTAATTGACCTCCAACCAATCAGTGTTTTACCTAATAGTATAGCCATGCCTGAAGTTGATTTCCTAGTTTTTATATCTGTTGCAAAACTTGCATCAGCATATGCACTTAAAATCAAATCATCTTTTGGCTCTAAATACAATGCATAGTGCATTGTCCTTTTAAGATACCTTAATATACGCTTTAGCACTTGCCAGTGACGTTCATTTGGTTCAGCGTTGAATCTCGCCAATTGATTAACGCCATAAGCAATATCTGGCATTGACCAATTACTTATATATGATAAACTACCTATTAATGACTGATAAATAGTCTTATCAAATTTTGAACTTTGAGCATCAGTGTGACAAAATTCCTGACTCATTGGAGTTTTTGCCGGTTTACAAAGTTCCATTTTATACATTTTTAGCAATTGGTATATTTTATCTTCTTGTGATATCTTAAAGCCACTATTGGTTTTGTTTATTGTCAATCCTAAATACTGTCTTATTTCTCCTAAATGCTTTAATTTTATCCTCTTACTTAATAATGATATTATCTCAGTAGCTTCATTATTAGTCTTCGTTATTAAAGCAATATCATCTGTAAACAACAATAATAATGATACTATTCCATTTGTCTCTCTCTTGAATAAACATGGATCAGCTAAACCTGCTTTAAATCCTATATTGTTTAACTCTTTTACAATATATTGGTTCCATTCATAACCAGATTGTTTCAATCCATAGAGACTCTTTTTTAGTTTCCAACAGTCATTATTATTATTTTTATCATCTTTAATACCTACTGGTTTTCTTAAATATATAGTGTGCTGCAATGGTGCATGCAGATAGGCAGTTTCTACATCTAAATGATTTATGATATAATTCTTCTTAGCTGCCCACACTAATGCTGCTCTCAAGTTTATTGCCTTTAAATTTGGTGCAAATACTTCATCATAATCACATGCAGTTTGATTAAATCCTTGAGCTACCAACCTAGCCTTATGGGTAACAGTCCCATTTTTACCAGTTTTTAACTTAAATATCCATTTGCAGCCAATGGACTTTTCACCTGGAGGTAATTTGGCATTTTCATAAACTTTCATTTCCTTTAATGAATTTAACTCCTTTTCCATTGCCTTTTGCCAATTTTCCTGATCCTTTGCAGGATACATCCTAAGTTCTTCAACACTAGTTGGAACTTTACTAACTTGGCAAACTACACTTGCTTGATACCTATCAGGTGGTCTGGTTATACGTGTAGAACGTCTAGGTATTACAGGGCTTACAGGTGGACTTACATGTTCTACCTGTTCCTGATTATCTATTTCTTCCTGTTCTGGTATTTCTTCCTCTTCTGGTCCTATATGCTCTTCATGTACTTCCTCTTTAATTGTACTCTTCTTATTACTGATTTGTTCTTTTTGTCTTTTCTAGGGTTCTATAATTACTTCCTTATTTGAATCTTGCTCCAGTTTTTCCCATCCTACATGTTCTAGGAATTGTGCACTAGCGCTACAGTAAACTCTAGATGTACCTTTTTCCCAGAATCTGTATGATTTGTGATTAGATTCATAACCTACAAAAAATAACCTTTTAGCCCTATGTTGCCCTTTCTTTCTCAGTTGTGTAGGGATATGCACCCATGCTGGTGCTCCAAATGTATGCATGTAACTTAGGTCAGGTTTTCTGCCATGCCACCGTGGTAATGAATGGTAATTCATGAATGGTAATTCACCAGTTGTTGAGTTAACAACAT